ACACTGGTGAAAAAATGTTAATTGCAGATGTGACCTATCTAACACATAAATAGTCGCGACGATTACTAGGTAAGTCCACTGAAGGCAGCTTTCTGAAGTTAGACTTTGGAATACTGATAGTATTTCCTGCGCCCTAGATGTATTTTACAAGATAGAACAACTAAACCAAGTTTGTTACGTAAACGTCACTAGCCTTATAAGATCTTTCCTAATAAATATGGCAAAGCTCGAATTCTAATACAAGTTATTTGCGCAAATAAAGCAGTAATGTTAAAGCAGAAGATGAACGAATAAAAAGCAAAAAAAGTGATATATACTAAAATTTCAAGTCTCTAGATGCATACCTCTCTCCTAGGACGTGCTCCCGATCATGTCGTGATTTCATCAACATTTCTGCAGTGAGCTGTGGTTTCTTGCTTCCGCTGGATCGACGACGCTCTGATATATTGTCCCCAGCCTCCTCAACACCCATGTTCACCTAAAATATCTTCCATAACCTAGCATGTTGAATTCTCAAGAAACTACTCAGCAACATGATTTTGTACTAGATCTTGAAAATAATAGCTGAAAGAGAGAAGTCTCACCCGGTTAAACGCGTCCAGAAATTCCTCGGAACAAACGAACTGCTCGTGTTGCTGCCGCAGAAATGAATCCAGATATGGCAATATAGGCGAAAAAAGCCGAGCATCCGGAAAAGCGGAGCCAGTTTGCTTCAGTCGGATACCGATCTTAACCATGCTTTCACCATAACAATAACATGACTAAGGAAAGCAATTGCCTACCTCTTGTCGCAACTTGTGGGGTATGAAACTGAAGCAACTGGATGCAGTCCGAAGGGAGATATACTTCTGATAGATCGACTTAGCCAAGTCAGCGGTTTGTGCATTTCGCTGAGCTGACATCCTATCATAAGCGAGCACGGCAAAGTGTAGCTCCAGAGGCTAGAAAAAACATCATATTATTCAAATTATAGTCGTTGTATCCAAGCACTAAAAGCAAATGGGTCCTCATACCATATTAGCTAAAGGACTTATCAAAGTAGCCGGAGCAAAGCATCTCCGCTCCGTGCGGCCGTCCAGCCTCGACCTCTCTGCAAACATGCTCCCTTATCGCTTCCCCACTACGAGCGTGGAAAAGACATTTCGATTGCTAATTAAAGGGCAAGAATGATTAGAGAGCATATTCGTGAAAGAGGTGCAGAGTTGAGGCTAGGTGGCAACGCGGGAGCGGAGATGTTGGTGCACAAGACTCTTCGACTGATGAGCCCTGTACAAGAGGTCTACATGACCCCTGACGATGGGACTCTTCTCGTATACATCTCACAAAGAGAGACGTTTCGAAACATGCATATATTAGGTTGTCCTGAAAGTCCGGAAATGTTTCATTTTTGAAAATTTGTAACTTTTGGCTTTGTCGGCGGATTTGCTTCTCTCTAATTTTATTGAAAAGAAGAGGTCTTCCACTTTATAGTAGTGCCTTGGATGCTTCTAATGTGCACTCATGGCACAGATAAAAATGGAGAAAGAATACCAATCAAGCTTTGATCATTTTGAGTTAGGTCGCCAAAA